ATTTTTTCGTTTGATGACCGTTAATATATAACTATCGATGTGTCCAATTGGTTGATTCCAATTATAGAAGTGTACTAATTTGTGTTTTTTTTTGCTTTTTTTATTCTTCTTTTTCCTCTTTTTGATGAATTTGAAGTTGTTTCTGAGTCGGAAAAATATAATTGATCATGGATGGGACAATTTTTATCTATTGATTCTTTTAATTTGTATAGTTCGTCCAAACTATTGACTTCTGATTCAGAAAATGCCTTTCTTTTTTTTGAAAATCTTTTTCGTGTTATTTGTCTTTGTTTGTTTATAATTTTCCTTTTTATTGTTTGTCGTTTTGTTCTAATGTATCCAACTGTTTGTGTATGAGGTGTGATTACAAGATCGTATTTTTTGTTATCTATTTCACAGTTGTGTAAAACGATTGTTTGTTGATTTCCTAAATTTTTGAATGACATAAGGTTTAGGATGAGGGATGCAAGAAGTTGTTAGTTGTTTCTATTTCCTTAGACTGTTAGTCCGTACGATTTTTTGGTTAGCTTAACCTGGGTCTTTTTGTTCAGGGTTGGAGAGAAAAGTATATCGATTCCGAAAAATGAATTTTTTTACTTTCTCGTTGCTAGTCTAAGCTAAGGTGTTAACTAACTTAATCTTACTTAGGGGTAGTGATTGTGTTCAAGGGTTGGAGAATAGTAAATCGATCCACAAGGTTCAGGTATAATTAGAACGCAAGTAGTTCGTTAGATACTATTTTAAACTTAGTAGGTCTAAGATCTATCCTGGGTCTGTTAAGAGGAGGGTTCAAGTGAAGGATGAATAACCGAAGTTCTTCACTGTTTATCTTAATTTTAATGGTTAGTTTTTTTGAAAAATTTCTGTTAGTCCTGGGTCTTTTGGAAGGTTGGATAGTGAATCGACGTTTGAGGTCGTTAGACACTTTCTAAGTGGGTGGGGGAGAACAAAATTGTTTTTTTTTTATCCACGGATAGGCCTTGATGATCAGATTTTAAATTTAGTGAGATAGAAAATTTATTAAGATCCAAGGATAAGCCTTGATGATCTGATTTTTAAAATTAAGTGAATCTTTAAGTTTAAAATGGTTTAAATTTATTAATTAAAAAGGTTTAGTTTTTTAATGATATTAGTGAGCTTATGATTGCTGTTATGTTTAGGTGATGAAGCTGGAACAACAGGATGATTTATGATTACTAACAATTTATTGTCATGCTACTAATTTTTATTTTTATTTTCAATAAATATTTTTCAAATAAGTTTAATATAATACTGCAGAAATTAAGAAAACGATCTGAGATCTTTTTATCAATCGTTATTGTACATTAATAATTTTGTTTAGCGCCTGAAGTGATCTTGAAGATTTACATCAAAATTTTATGTTTGCAAATGAAAATTTAAATCCTTTGCTAATAAGATTCTAATTATAAAAGTTTGTGTTGGCTTTTGCCGTACAACCATAAAACTAAATGGTAAGTTTCTACTTAGTCGTATATCGTCTCTTGTCCGAGGTCTTCTTCCAATACCAGGTAGTTCTAGTATTGTGCGGAATATTGGCTCTGATCTATTGAGTCGTAGAGACATTTCAATTAAGTTATTATCGTGTAACATTTTGAAAATGTTTTGTCTAAATTCTAATCTATTTTTGGTTAGTTCTAAGCTATTAAGGTCTTTTTAGAGACTTATGGTCGCACCAGATGAGTTATGACCGATGTGGTTAACTCATAGAGTAATTTCGGATAGGGTACACCGTCTGCTTGTCACTCTATCTTATTTTCGGCCGGATAGATTCGTGCAACTTCTTAGTCTAATACCGATCCTAATCTTACTCTTATATCTCCTAGTCTCAGGGTGTTTAACTAGTCTCTGCTAGGCTCAATAGATCTAGAGTATACTGGCTTATTGCGGCAGCTGAAGTTCTCTTGGAGAGGCAACTAATTTCTAAGTTAAATTCAAATCTCTCTGGTGCTGAAATTACAAGTAATTTCAGCACTTACAAATAAGTGGGTTGTTAGTTGGATGGATTATGATTGGTTAATATTAAATCCTTTACAGTGGTAAAATATCTAATTTATCCAATAATAAAATGTAGTTTAGATCAGGTTCCACAAAGTATACAAAAAGATTGAATATAGCTAGTATCAAGTTATGTATATACCTAGCTAGTTCTATATATCAGCCACAGTCTGTCTGCCCTTGAAAAATTTGCAGCCAGCAGAAAACACCTAATACAACACCTCATACAAAACTCGCATGATTGAGAGGACATTTCTGAACATTCCGATTTTTCCGCCCAACTCTCGGATAATTTTCCGCCCTTTGAATTACAATAAGTTACAATAAGTCAGTATCAATTACAATAAGTTAAATTTTGAGTCGTATGGGGAATTTTTGAAACCAACTAGATTTTTCCGCCCTCTAAATTTTCAAGAAATGATCAGAACGTTCCGTTTTCCCCCACCCAGTTGAAGATTAGTGTTCCAGCCCCTGAAAAAACTTCATTGAATGAGTCCGAACATGCTGTTTTTGTCGTCCATATCATTGATAGTTGTCCAACGTACAAAGATTTTGCTTAAAAACTGCCATGTAATTTGGATTGCAAAATGTGGAAACGCTGTTTTTCCGCCTTTCGAAAAAATTGAAAGATAACATTGACATTTTGCTGAAATAATTTTTAGTGATTGAAACGAGACTGCTCGTATATCAAAATGAAATTCTGATTGTTCGTTCCAACTGCACTTTGAGGAAAATTAAAAAAAAAATTCGGTTGAAAAATTGACAAAAAACTTGAATGTTTTTTTTTCCCATTTTATTCCCCCACACGCAATATAAAAGACAAAGGGTGTGTTTAGCATCTCGGAATGTTTTGATAGATGACCTCGTCTCAATTTAAAGCGGATTAATTTGCCGCTTACACGTGGTATAAGAATGCAAATTGCGCGTAAATTATCTCGAATTGACACAATTAGATGTTTTCAAACCCTCGTAACTTTGCAAAACATGATCACAGGTAACAACATGACTTGAAATTTCTGCTCAGGATGAAACACCTACCAGATGCTTTGAGAATTCGACAAAAACGCTAAATAAGAAAAAATAAAAAAATTTTCGGAATAGGAAAAAAACTACCCTAAGCATAAAAAAATAGGATCAATAATCCGCATTTCTTCGAAACTCGAAACAATAGCGGCTTAAACAAAGTTCTACACTACTTCGAAGTCCTACCTGTTTTCGAGCATTCAAAATTTTTGTTCTAAGACTATCATATAATTCAAAATTTTATGCACAAACCTTTCAAGCTCTCCAAAATCTTTAGATATTGTTATCAGAAACAAACTAAACAAGACTGCGCGTATCAGGGTGAAGCCCTGTATGTACCGATTACCTTTTGAGGTTTATGGGGCAGTAATAACAGAAAAAAAATGTAAAAAACATAAAATTAATTTTATTTTCATAAAATTTGAAATTTTTTATGAAAAACATCACCCCACACGCCGTATAAAGTACAAAAGGATAGATTTCGCTCCTTGTAACAAATCAATTATGGCAAATAGGTTTCTTTCAACCAACTTGGAACGATTTCTAAGATGGAATAAATCTCCGCTTACACGTCAATAGCGCGAAATATATCGCGCGTTTTTGTCCCAAAATGGCCAAAATGAGCTAGTTAAAAAGTCGAAATTTGTCTGAAGAAAAAAAAAACCACCGAGCACAAATATTTCATTACTTTCGTATCGAAAGTCAAAACAACAAGGCTGCCAGTATATCAGGGCAAAGTTCTCTATGCTCTGACAAAACCCGGTCGATGTTTTGATAAACTATAAACGTTGGACTGTCAGTATCAATTACAATGTGTTAAATTTTGAGTCGTATGGGGAATTTTTGAAACCAACTAGACTGCTGCATCTTAATTGAAAAACAATTTTTTTAATATATTCTCGTATCAAGGCAAAGAATGATTGCTTCAAGCGTTTCAGACAAAAGATTTTGTTAATTAAAAAATAGTGTTGTTTTTTGTTTTTCTTCTGCAACATTTTAGGTATAATAGCAACTGCTCCAAAGTTGAACCGCATATTGAACCAAAAAGGTCATTTATTTCGCCTCAAATAATTTTGGACAAACTTAAGAGCGGAATATTTCGCCACGCATAAATAATTCATGCCTATGTTTTCATTCGCCACGCAAAAAATATCGTGTTACATTTAAACTCAAGGAGTCATTATCTCGTTTGGTTAAAAAATGGAAATTTTTTTTGTCAAAATCTATTTTCAATTGCTAATATTGGCTTGAATACAAAAAAATAAATCAACATATACACTCCGCTACTTGTTTTCTAATTTGGTATACCCTTTCTTTTTTTTTCAATTAAACCTTTTAACAAAGCTCAAAACTATTTGGTTCAACGAAGTTTAAAAAAATTCAAGCAGATTTAATGGTTCAAGTATTCTGGTTGTGATTTCTTAATGAGGCTTGACCATTTAAAAGTGGTAACCCGAGTCATTGAAAAACAGTTGAGCTGAAAAAACCTATTTAGTGGTGCAAGGCCGAAAAAACCCAATAGTGGTGCAAGGCAGATTTACTAAGAGTTAATTTAATAGTTTACGATAAATTAATAGTTTGTTTTTGGCCAAAACGCCAATATGGGAATGGCCATTTGCGCGATCGACCAAATTGATTTTTCGAGCTCTCCTAAAACAACGTAACAAACCCATTTTGACCAAATTTGCGAAGAAGAAAAAAATCAGGTCAAAAATGCGCGATCCCTCTCAAAAATAGTATACACATACATACATACATACACACAAACGTTATCATCTTCCAAAAACGTTACTTTGAAAAACTAAGCCGAAAGTGCCATTTTTGGGCACATTTCGAAATAATTTGTCTAAAAAATTGCATTACACTGGACATTCATCTCCGAATTACACATTCGGGGAATTACAAAATTAATTCAATATGTATGCATCACTGTTTGATTAGTTATGTTCTTTTTTTTGCAGGCATCTACGAAGTGACGATCGAGTCTATCGACCCATGTGCAATCTCCGTGGGACCAGGTGGCGAAAAGGGCACTGTCGGTTCTGGTGTCGCGTGTGGCGCCGCTGGTTGCGACTCCTCGGAGTTCAAGAAGGTCCGCGTCAAGGTTACTCGCGTCAAAGTTAATCTAATATTACATAAGTTACCCCGTGACTTTTCATGTAAATCCATAAAAGTTGTTAAATGACTCGTTGAAAAACATTTTTTTAGCAAAAATTTAAAAGCAAACATTGTTTGCTGACAGAAAAAGATTTCATGTACACTTTGGATCAACTAAAAGTCTGAGGAAAAGTTTAAAATAAGGAAGTGATTGAGGAAAAGTTTAAAATAAGGAAGTGATTGAAGAAAAGTTTAAAATAAGGAAGTGATTGAGAAAAATTGTTTTCGAAAATTTCAGGTTTTGCCGAATGAAATTAACAAACTTTTGTATGTTGCTCTGTTTGGCACACTTGTCAGGACATTGAAAAATTACATGACTTGCCGGAATTTTCTTCTAATTAATGTGAAGGGCTCTTTGTTATTATAATTGCTCAGCCTAGGAGCAAAAAATATAGCCCGACCACAATGAGGTCTTTCAGTTATTGGTGGGGGGGGGGGCTATCATTTATTAGAACTATTATACCAGTTTACAAGTTGAGGAGCTTTTGTAAGGTATAGCCATAACTCACATAAAGGTGAGTAAAACTTAAATAATTGAACTGGCTGGCTTACTAAAGGAAACAATATTAAGCAAAGTGAGGGGGGGGGGGGAGGGTGGTTGAGGGAGATCTATAAAGGGCGTGTAATCTGCAGGTGAATGAGTACCAGCACGAAGGGTTCTTCGGGGAGTTGGCTCTGTTGCACGGGGACAAGAGGGCGGCCACAGTGACGTCACTGACAGAGGGCACTCTGTGGGCCATAGACAGGGACTCCTTCCGGAACATCATCCTCTCCCACGAGTTCAGACGCATTTGGAGCTACGAGGTCAGAATAACAAATCATAAAAAAAGCTTCAGAAACGAAGGAAAAATATATCTTTATAGATATCTGTTAATCCTCCACTATTGAAAACAAAGGAACTGAGATAAATAGTAATACTAAATGCTACGACTTCTGAAGAAAGTAACTGAATGTATCTCTTTTGGGCGGTGTTTTCATTCAGACCATTTGACGGAACTTTTGACGGATTGCATTTTGACAGAAGATTCTTATACCATCTGAAACATATCCATCTCATGAGCTCAAATTAAGCAAAAAGATTTTTCACCTCTGAGTTTTTTTAAACGAATTTATCGGAATTTGAATTTGGGACTACTTTGGCCAATTTGGGCTAAACAAAGAGCGTGATACTTTTTAAAAACGCGTAGCAAATTCAGCTAATTAATCCAGATCACAAATTGTTCCAAGGGCACGCTAAATGGTCTAAGTAAATGCGAAATACGTCACTTGGTTGCTTCACTGTACAAAGAGTGTCGGGGAAGATCTTTCACAAATTATTTGATTTTTTCCGACATGAATATCAAAATTTCAAACCTCAATTTAGTTCAAACACCAACATTTCAAACCTCAATTTAGTTCAAACACCTTAGAGGAAAGTCGGAAATTTCAGGGCCTGGCCTTCATTCGAGCAGTCTCGTTTGTTTATTTTCTATGCTCACGTGTTTTACTTACTTATATTAGTTCCAACATAAGTTTGAAGCGGCCGATTATACTGATGGGAGACCAACAGAGAAGCCCGAGTTGACAATCCTACAAAAATTCCCCTATCTTGGAACTTTTTTTACGATTTGTAGGAGATTTCCACTATCTTACAACTTTTTTATACAAAAGTTCTAAGTAAAAAGTAAAAACTTTTCCCCAAAATTCAAAAAAATTGCCGGAACATTTCAAATGTATTTCTAGTCCGTAACAAAAAATATTTTCAAATTTAGGCATGTAAATATTTTTAGGTATAGTGGTTATAATGTATGCATTTTGAACAAAAAACTCCAAAAATGTAAAAAAAAAAGTTTTAATGAATTTTTGAGTTATACGTAATTAGCGGTTCAAAAATATTTTGGAGCCAATAAAAAACAACCTTGAGGAAGCATGTCAAATAGCTGCGGATGTGTTGTATGTGGGACTCATGTGTATATCTACAAATTTCAAGTTAGCAGCGAAAATTGTACTCTAACAAGTTAATGGAGTTTTCAGTAAACTCAGAGAAACGAGCCGTTTGGCGTATGAGTTTTTGTTATTGTACCCTGCGACAGCGGAGAACTTTTCAACTGGTCATGAAAAAGTTTTCAAACATAAAATGCAAACAAATTGAAATATTTTTGCAGGAAAAAATTCGAACTTATCAATTTCTTAAAAACTTTAGTAATTTATAAGAAAATGAGCCTATCCTGTATTATTCATAGAGCCTAAGTCTGAACAAAAATGAGAGATTCTTAATAAAAAAATTCTATGATAGCGACATTCGGTCGACCAGGGAGACTCAAGTTTTGAAAAACAGCGGAAATTGGTTTAAATTACAATTTACAAGCTTTTTGTGCTCTTTGTGGTCTCTTGCTAAGAAGCTGGATGAAAAATCTCAACAAAAGACAACTCAAAAAATCATAGAAATTGACAACCGATAAATTATATATTTACCAAAATTGATTTCAAATTTTTGGTCACACAACTGCTATGCTTTACCTTGTTTTCCATAGCTTTACAAAATTTCATGAAATATTTTTGGGTGCATTTTCTCAAATTAAAAAAAATAATGAAATTTTTTTCGTAAACCATCAATTAGCAATTTTTTGTTTCTTAGTTTATAATTTTTCAAATGTTTTGCCTTAATTTTAAAGACCCTATTTCTGAATTAAGAAACCCAAGTTCAAACCGAGATTTAAAAATATATAAAAAACAGCATTTTTTGCATGAAGAAAAAACGAGTTATGAATTAGCAAGATGGGAAGAAAACTATAGCTGGTAAGGTGGTTGAAGATTGTCAACCGGGGTAAATGAAATTTTTTTTCGTTGTTTTTGTTCCAACTTTTGAAGAAAAAGACGGAATATTTGTGCTCGGGCTCTTTTTTTCTCCAAACAAATTTTGACTTTTAACTTTTTGAGTGAATTAACGCGCAATAAATTTCGTGCTATTGTCGAGTAAGCAGAGATTTAAGCCATTTTAGAAATTATTCAAGTTGGTTTAAGACATCCTCTTTGATTTATTCAATTTTTGTTATATACAAACAATATCACTTTGTACTTTACATAGCGTGGTGTGGGGTCAAAAGAAAACATCAAAAAACAATTTCAGAAGAAAACATTAACAAAATTGAACATTGTAAGAAACAGCCCTGTTTGGCAAATAAATTTCAGAAAGATTTGGTTGTTTTCTTTCCATCAGCTTGTCTAGATATTTAAAACTTTTTTGGCGTTGGTTATTGAGAAATTGAAATTTTGATTCGGTTTCGTTTTTTTGAAAAATCATTTTTGTGATTAAAGATAGAAAAGCTTCATGTTAAATTAGTTTACTGCACATATGTTTAAAAGGTGAGAGAAGTTCAGGTTCAAAAGTTTACTGCAGGTTAAAAAGGTGAGAGAAGGTTTACAGGAAAAATAAGTAGCAAGAACAACTTGAAGATCAGTTAGAAGTTTCGGGGCTTTGCCTTGCTTCGATAGCTCTCGTATTCAATTTCATTTCATCATGATTTAAGTTTAGTAGGCAGCACAAGTGGGTCAATATATCCTCTGGTTTAAAAGACTGGGCTGATATTTTAGTAACTCACCAGCTGAGAAACCGAGCGCATTTCGAGTAATCGAGCGCATCGATAAGTAGTTTCGCAACAGTTTTTTTTTCACGCACGAGTGAATTATTTCACAATCAGAGGGGCACCAGGCGCGGGGATAGTGAATTAATTTCCCGACTCGTGAAAAAACAGTTAGGCAAATGCTTAAGCCGACGAAAAATTTATTCATGCTTGTTTTTCGCCTGTTTTTCTCATGCTAAAACAGTTGTTTTCTCACTTTAAGACATGATTTCAAACTACCTCTACAGCTCATTTGCGAGTGTCCATGTAAAGATTTTTACAAGCCGATTGACTTAAGCTGCAGACTAACTTAGAACAAGTTTCACGTACGGATCTTTTCATGGACTGCGTATAAACGCAAGTGAGTGACTTAATTGTGTTTGGCGCATACATTTTGATTTTAATTAAACTTCAGCAGCTCATTAGGTAGATTTTTCACAAAAAGGGGAATGATTTTTCGCAAAAAATCTCAAAATTTCTCTATTCTTTATTTTGAAAAATTATCTATGCTGGAGAAAGAGAGTAACGCAACTAGAGAATTTTTTTTTTTAATGAAGAAAACGTTTTGAAACGACAAAAAAATTGGGTTTAAGTATGTTAGTTTTTTGCCCTAGATAGTGATATACCTAAAAAATTAGCAGTTTTTGCAGAATTTTATAAGCTGAGCGATGAATCGTGATGTGAAGTAGCATCTCTGAAAGAATGAAACGAAACTGTTCAGTGTTTCTATTTTTTTTCGTGATCAAAATGTGCAAATTTTGTTTCTATGGTTCAGGGGCTCGCAATCTGTGAAACTTCATTTTGTTTCTGTTTCAATTCATGGACAGACAAATATGTAATTTTAAGGTTTTGTTTTTAAAAACAAGTGAAAATACATTATGATCGCAAGGTTTTATAAGGATTTTTTTGAGTTTTGAAAATTGTTTGGTTGCGTTACTTTTTTTCTCCACTATACTTCCTTTTAAGTGAATTCTGCTCTATCGACCTTGAAAACAGTCGTAACATTCAGTGCTTTACCCTGATACAAGCAGTCTTGTTTTTTTAAGTTCACCTAAGAATTACACTCAAAAATTCAATTTTAGTCCTTTTAAAAAATTTTCAATCAACTAAATGGAAAACCTGAAGCAAAATGCTACTATAGCATATAAGATCCTAGATATAAGACAGGATATAGGATAGCATATCTAGTATATAGGATAGCATATAGGACAGATCCCTGAATATCCCATCTGTCTTTTCAGGTATCTCAAAACAACTTCTGGTTAAAAATTATTTTGCAATTTCATTTTTTTTGAAAAACAATATTTTTAAATCTTTCAAAATCAACCTCACTCGCCATATTAAAAAACAAAATTTCCTCTATTTCATCTAGATATCATCATCATTATATCCTTTTATATCCTCATCATCCTTCTGAGTCAGATTACTTTTCAGCTACACTACGAATTAAAAATCATAGTTGTAAATGGGTTGTATTATGCCAAAATAACAAAACTATGACAAGACGACCATGCTAACAGTTTTCAAACTCCATATTTTTTTGTAAAAAAGGTCTCAGGATAAATAATTTTTCAATTGAATGCTCAAAGAACAGTTTTTGTTCCGACTTTCGATACCAAAGTAACGGAATATTTGTGCTCGGGGTGGGTTTTTTTTTCTTCAGACAAATTTCGAATTTTTAACTAGCCATTTTTGACGGAATTTTTTTATATCATTCAAAAAGTATTGTTGTCCTGAGCTTAAATTTGAAAAGATATTTCACCTGTGATCATTTTTTGTAAAATTATGAGGGTTTAAAGATTGCCATTTTGACCAATTTGGGACAATTAACGCGCGATATATTTCGCGCTATTAAAGCGTAAGCGGAGAGTTAATCCGTCTTACAAATCGTTCCAAATTGGTTGAAAGAAGCTTATTTGCCATAATTGATTCGTTACAAGCAGCGAAATCTATCCTTTTGTACTTTATATGGCGTGTGGGGGGATGATTTTCATAAAAAATTTCAAATTTTAGAAAAAAAAATTTTCGTTTTATTTTATTTCATTTAATTTTTATTATGTTATTACTGCTGCTCCATAAACCTTAAAAGGCAGTCGGAACATTCAGGGCTTCGCCCTGATACGAGCAGTCTTGTTTCTTGTTTGAGTTTAAAGTTGCGTGGAGAAAGAAAAATATCTTTTTCTTCGAGAAGTTGAACAATTAAAATCGAATCATGAGTTATGCTGAACTTAGAAAAATCGCGTAGAGTTTTGTTCAAAATCCTCAGTTTTTGCTCATCTCATCTACTATAGGGGTTGCATGCGTTCTCTATTTCGTTAATTTTTTTCGAGAATTCGTTTTGTTAAATAAATTAGAAACTTGTTTATATGTGTCAACTTTGAGAAGCCAACTGACTGGAACTAAATGGAATCAACGAATCAACTGATTTGTCGAGTAGTTTACTCTCTCGGAAGGGTTGAATGAGGGAAGCTAGAAATTTTGTTGAACTTGTTGTCTTCGCATCACAATTATATTAACCGCAAGACTAAAATTTGCAAAATTCGCATCCAATACTTCAGATGTTATAACCAGAATTGCACCTTAAAAATTCCAGCAAAACAATTCTGCGTTTGAATTCCTAAACAACATGACTTATGCCTTTGATTTCACATCTCAAATTTGTGAACCACGAACAACACCATTACTTAGTAATGTTTTTGTTCCTACTATTTTCGAATAAAATGACCACATATTAGAACAAGACTGCTCGTATCAGGGCGAAGCCCTGACTGTTCCGACTGCCTTTTAAGGTTTATGGAGCAGCAGTAATAACGTAAAAAAATTTAATGAAACAAAATAAAATGAAAGTTTTTTTTCTAAAATTTGAAATTTTTTATGAAAATCATCCCCCCACACGCTATATAAAGTACAAAAAGATAGATTTCGTTCCTTGTAACAAATCAATTATGGCAAACAAGCTTCGTTCAACCAATTTGGAACAATTTATAAAACGGAATAAATCTCCCCTTACGCGTTAATAGCGCGAAAGATATCGCGCGTTAATTGTCACAAATTGGTCAAAATGGCCAAAATGGCAATCTTTAAACCCTCATAACTTTACGAAAAATGATCACAGGTAAAATATCTTCTCAAATTTAAGCTCTAGACAACAATACCTTTTGAATGAAAAAAAAATTCTATCAAAAATGGCTAGTTAAAAAGTCGAAATTTGTCTGAAGAAAAAACCCACCCCGAGCACAAAGATTCTGTTACTTTCGTATCGAAAGTCGGAACAACAATTAACGCGCGATATATGGTGCTATAAGCAATTAAGCGGATATTTAATACTTTGCTGTATGCGAAATTAATAACTTGTACTTAGTGTGGGGCTAGGTCTTTTACCAGACCGACCTTTTACCAGACCACAATGCAATAACTCAATAAGTATAAGTTTAAGTTAATAGAAGGTTTGAAAAGGAAGCGGCTAGAACAAACAAAACTTCGTTGAGAAACCGTGAAATAATTGTATTTAACCAGACTAAACGGCGTCAATATATCTGTCAACCAAATTTTTTATCGAGTCTGGCAAAAGGTCCATGTTATAATTTTTCTGGTAAAAGGTCAGTCTGGTAAAAGGTCGGTCCCCCACTTAGTGTGTAGACTAGGTGTAGGCTATTTAATACTTTGCTATATGCGAAATAAATAATTTGTACTTTGTGTGTAGGCTCAATGTGTAGGCTTTTTCAACACTTTTTCTCTTGTTTTTTTTTTGCAATTTCAGCCATTTTCAAAAAGCGATCACTTACTTCATAGACCTAAAAGTTCCGTCAAAACATTCAAGGCTTCGCCCTGATATGAGCAGTCTTGTTGATTTCGATCCATTTAACATCACATTTATCAGCTACTTAGCAAAATTAGAATAACGAGCAACCGACAGTCGGAGCTTATTTCATTCACTATAAGCAGTCTAGAAGTTAGTTATGGATAAACATATTACTTTCAAAGTCAATGAGTATAAGCAACCAAGGACGGATGCCTCTTTCCCAAGAGTTGGAATCTCAATATCTCTCCTCCTTTCGGTTTGATTTCTTGGAATGGATTATTCACTGATTAATCCTCAGGCTTTTTCAAAAGAGTAATTGGAGCCAACATACACTCAGTTTGGCTTGATTGAAACTTTTTGGTGGCAACCTTTCATGTTTGATAAACTTCCGACTGTTTAAAAGCGATGAACATAGTGAGTACTCCTATATAGGTCTTGCTAATTTTTTTTTGTTTTTTTTTCAGGAAAGAGTCTTAAAATTTGTTCGCACTCATTTTAGATTTTTCGCGGTTTGACTTGTGATTTGTTTTTAAGCTCAGTGCGTTCCTATTGTAATACTGAAGGCAAATTCCACTATCGAACAGCAAAATGGCTAAGTTCCCGATTAAGTTTGAAATGATTTTGCGCAGTAATAAATCAATGCCTATGCCCCGTTCAGACAATTCCTTCGCAGAAAATTCAGCCGATTGCAAATTGAGACTATCCAATCAAATGAGTGAGACATTTCCCGCCAAACACTGTTCAGACTATTTTAAAACGTGCGCGCAAAAAATTTTAACGTGCCACCGCCTATCAGATAAATTGAGTCTGTGGTTGAAGCTAATATTTGGAACTTAAATTTCTCTAGAAACTAAACGAATTTTTTCGTCCGCCTGGGCCAGGCAGTATGGCGCAATGAAAAAAAAACTTTCAAAGTATGGCAGTATGGCGCAGGGTCATTATGGCGCAATGGCAGTATTGCGCAATGGCAGTATTGCGCAATGGCAGTTTCCATAAATTTGTGTCGACAAAGCACCCAGCCCTCCTCAGGCTCATAACACGTTTCGAAGATGAACAAAAAAAGCCAAAACTGATGTAGAGAGAATGATGGCCGGTGATATCATCAGAAAATCGAAGCCCAAATGCTCAATCGCCAATGAAAAACTCGTGCAAAATGCAAAAACTTACAATTGAGACCATACACAGAAGTATTTAAAAATTTGTACCATCAATATAAATACATCCTAAATTTTACGCACAGCAAAACTGTTTTGAACTTTGAAATTTGTTGTTTGATGTTTCACTATTCTTTGTTAAAATGTTGAAAGCCTTCTGACTCTATTCAAATTAGAAAAAATTTGGTTTTTCTTTTGATCTAGTCTCTTTAACCTAGTTTGGCCGAACCGAATTGTTTTTGGCTTAATTGTCTGATTCTGAAATCTGCCAAATTGTCTGCGGCTGAAAAAACACCACTAGAAATAGAGTCTAGAAAAGTCATCACCTTTTTCGAAAGTCGGAACAACATTTTTTAAACATTTTTCAAAGTATAATGAAATTTTTTCACGATAAGCAAATGATTTGTGTTTCAAACTATCTTCGTGTCTTTTACATTTGATTCTAATATCCTTCAAAAATAATATCAAATTCGAAATTTTGTTAAGTGGAGGAGGGTTTATTTCTATTTTAGTTGTTATTATCGTCATGCTTTTTCATGATCATGATATATATATTTTTTTAATTTGGTCAAGTTAACTTGCCAATCTGATATCAAAGACAATTGGAAATTTCTCAGTGTTTTACTTCATACAATTCAGTTTGAAGTTGCTTTGCTTATTCATTCATTTTTTTCTTACTCTTTTTAAAAACATTTGGTAGCATTAAAATTTATCACAGGCGTTTCTGCGTGACGTGCCCCTAATGAAACTATTGAGTGAGGAGGAGATCTGGAGAGTGGCGGATGCACTGCAGCCGGAGATGTACCTCAAGGGTGACGTCATCATATACCAGGGACAGAAGGGGGGCAACTGCATGTACTTCATAGAGGACGGCCAAGTCTCTGTCTACTGCCGCACCCCCACAAACACCGTCACTTCAAACGGTAAATTTTTTCAGCAAACTCTCTCACATCTAAATCCAACACAACCATAACTGCTAAAAATTTGCTATATCTTTCTCAGTTCAGATTCACTTACAAATCCATCAAAACTCAGTGTAAATTTCTTGATTTAAGAAAAACGTTGATTTTGAACAAATGCTACTATATAAGAACCCCAGAATATGATATTCTAGTTTTATATTTACTAGATTGTAAACAATATGCATCAACAGAAAAACAATGCAAACTCAAAAAATTACGGTGTCCCACAGGGTTCAATTCTAGGACCACTATTTTTCATTTTGTACATAAATGATGCGCCAAAACAAAATAAAATTACAAATGTCTATCGCTACGCTCTATGATCAGAAAAAAGCAAAGCATTTTCAATCATCTCCAAAACAACACCAGAAAATATCAGTAATTTTTAGAACTCGAAAATTGTTTAACTGTCTCACAAACTGTTTGTAACTTATTTGATATGATTTACAAAATGAAACGGAATGAAATTAAAAATTTTCTCCATAAGTTTCTAAAAACTTCAACTATAAAAAAGTATTGAGCAAAAAGCTGATATTCTAGTCATTCGTCGTATGCTTATATTTTCATCAAAAATTGACAAAATTCCGACAAAATCTCGTCAATTCAATATTGTTAGCAATCTGAGTATCATGAAAAATTTACTGCTATGTACTGGCTAATTTCATCAGACTTGTCTTAAGGCATGTACTCCGTATTCAGTACAGTTCAATCATCAGATTTTTTGCAAGACCTGTACTTTAATCAATTGAATTTTTACCCGAAGAGTTAATTTTGCGTGGTTCAATTGTGACGAAAAACTACATTGGTTTAAAAATTGACTTTTTTTGTTATTTAGACATAATGGCTTAAAAAATATATTAAAAAGGAACAAAAAACTCTCGCCAGCCATGGTTCAAGTCTTTTGGCTATCGTATGAAATTGTTTGACTTTAAGTTTGAGTTGTTTTTCTAATCACGAAATTGTCTCGTGAAGTTTCGATGTTTTAGTAAAACTGGTTTAAATAATTTAATTCATTAAGTGCTGTCGATTCATAAATTTACAACAGAACAAAATTTTAGCTTTTAGATTTTGCCGTTTTTGCGGATTTTGCGGTCAACAATGCAGTTAGGTTTTAGCATATTCGAGTTTCTTAATGTTCAACAACAAAAGTTGCTGTTTTTCATCTCAATGTTTTAATAATTTGTTTTTCCTTGTCTAATAGTTAAAAAGCGTGGTATCATATTAGAGCTTTTATTATGAGGCCAAACTGTGCACTGGATAGGCGCACAATTTTGTGTCCGTATGTTCCTGGATTTCAGAGACAAGTATTTAATCATGTTGAATATTTGTCGGAATGATAAAAAAATGAAAGAACAAAAGTAGCGCCCTTGTCGTGGAATCCGCTTACAATTCACAAAATGCACAGTTTAGCCTTTCAATGCTATTGGTTGTAATTGAATTTCCAAAGAAAATTCTCAGCGTCGAGAAGAAAACATGGAATGATTTTTTCTCATTTTACAGACTAAATTAGACATACACAAGGATAGCCGGTTGCTGCGCAAGTTGCACAGAATGTTCCTACCATGTTCTCAGAAAAAGTCAATTCTTTTTTTTTCAAGTTATGGGCTTTTTGCACGTCGTGTGATGATAGAACTGTACGAACGAAATAGGCACAAAACAGTTGAGAAAAATTTTTCAATTTTTAAAATTTTTTCTTATATGAGGTATTTTTTGCTTTATTCAGATCAAAAAATTTAGTGCTGCTAGCATGCACATCATCTGGCTATCCTCTTTCCATTTTGTTTTCATTATTTTGCCAATACATAACTTTTTTATACTAGATGAAGAGCAAGCATTGGGTGAAGCAAACTGTGGCATTGAAGGAGAAAGCACTAGCTCCACGCCGGAGAATAGGCCAGGAGAAGTGGCTCTCAAAATACTGTCCAGGGGCGCCTACTTTGGCGAAGCAGCTCTGGTAAGACGGTCATCAAACTTTTTCTTTCAATTACGATCCTTTTCCATGGTAGTTGGGTTCCTTTTAACAGCAAGAAAGAAAGATGGATCATGGGTTTTGTGCAATTTTTGTGAAAACTTCAAAAAAAATAAAGTAACAAAGTAGTAAAAAGAAAATGGAACATAAATTTCAAAACCTTTTCACTTTTGTTGCGTTCTCTTCCCATTTTTCCCCATGAAACGTGGCTGAATTAGATTAAAAATGTCCATATAAGGTCATCGTACCATAAACATTTTTAAAATTGAATATTTAAACTTGAAATAAATAACTTTAAATATGAAAAACTTATTGTAAAAATCTTCTCAAAAAATTTGCTCCGAATCAGCCCTTTTCTACAGTAAGAAAAAGTTATGGCCCTGGGTCTGCTATTGATTCAGCCAATTTTGACTACTTTAAGAAAACTCGTACGAGGTCAAGTGTGGCATCAATTTAAAGCCCTTTAAGCTGTGATATGTAGTCTCAGTATCAAGAAAGTCTCAGTATCAAGAAATATTGTCTGAACTTGATTGAGAATACATTATCTCGTTTTGTCATTTGTGAAATGAAAAACCTGTCCTTTAGGCTAAAAAACAAGAAAAATACCACCCGCATCCAAGTTTAGACTTGTGTAATCGATTATAACGATTATTATGTTGATTTTTTGACAATTGAATCTGATTATTTTCACCAACATATGGTGTTTAAAGGATTCACAATCAATGATAATTGGGACTTTTTGCAAGACATTGTAATCTCGTACAATCTTTCATAATCGATTTAGTTCTTTCAAAAAAACTCTGTAAAAGGATTATAACTGATTATAGTCATGTATAATCTCTAGTTTAGCCACAATTTTGTCACATCAAAGATATTTGTTAGTTATATCCTATGAGATAATATTTTTGTCAATAAGAAAATCTCTGAAAGTGAGACGTCTGGGAACACTTTGGTTCATCTGAACATAAAGTTTTACCACGAAACAAAAGTTTTATATAGATCCCCTCATATTTGTTAAAACATTCCCGGCTCGGTAAACTAAAAATAACTCTTCCAAATAAATCATTAAAATTTAAAAAATGATACTAAGCAAGTTTTAATTTGATACTAAGCAAGACCTCTGTACGAGTAGATAAACTGACTGAAAAAAAAGTAGACCCTACGCTATAGCTCTTTCCACCCGCATAGGGTTGATCAGAAAAAAGTTTGTCAGGATGTTTGCGTCAGGCTTGTTAACTTTTTGAACTTTTTATCTGCTGCCATGTTCAAATGATCACACAACACTTGTGGCAGCGAGCAGTTTAATAATAATAATCATTAAAAAAAAACAAATAACAATAATAAAATTGCAGCGGTTCTTTGAAAGGCTTTCCAGCCTGTCTAAGCCTGGCCCGTTTCTCTTATTTCCCCACATTCCAGAGTGAGTTGTTTCAGGTGAGTCGCGAGGCGAGACTGGCCAGTGTTCGCGCGGAGAGTGATTCAGTCCAGTTATGCAGACTGGACAGACAGGCATTCGAGAGACTCCTTGGACCTTGCCAGAACATCATGGCCAGAAATGTTGAGAAGTACAGAGAAGAGAGAAAGCGGATGGGCGTGCATTGAGCCGACGTGACAATAAACAGAATAATGGGCATTGCTGTTCTTGGTCTATTAGCATGTGTATCGATTTTAACTAGCATAAAATTAAACTTGACTCTTTTACCGTCCCCTTCTTCAAAAACAAATCAGTTATACGATGCGAAAATACATTAACGGATATAAATTAAATGTGTTTGAAATTAAACAATGAGTGTTGATGTCACGTTTTAAAACCTTCGCAGAATGATTTTGACTTTTTTCCAAGTAAATATCGAAGATGGAATGCAAGGTAAAAGAAGGACCAATGGTCAAAAAGCAAAGCTTTATATCGGATCTTTATTATAAAATTATGGGCGCTATATTAATTTTCGAAGCAAAAGTTATATTTTCGTTCTGCCATTTCAATGCCAAGCTTGGTTTTAAATCTAAGCAGAAAATTGTGCCACCACGTCTTTGAATTCCACTGCAGATGATCTTAATATTAAAGAGGCGCCTGTCTACAAAATCAGATAACATATTGCCTAGATAAAATGTCCACAAACCATTTCTTGCGCGTGGAATCTAGACAAACTCTTTTTGGCTGTCAATAAGAGGCCAAACTTTACCTTTATAGGACACACTGTTTGGAGGGTGTGTGTCTGTGGATCCATCTACTTATCTTGATTTTATTGATATAGTATTTGAAGCTAATTATGTTTTAACCATTGTCTCTGAATTCCAGAACAGCAAAAGAAAGAAAAAATGAATAGAAAATGATGGAATCCACAAAAAGCTTCGTGATTGTTGATGTGAAACACATGTTGCTAGATTCCGCAGTGTTATCCCTTAAACTTGATTTTTGACTCCGAATTTGACGGTTTGTTTCTGGAATTCGCAGTTTGTCTTTGGATTCCGCTATTTGTCATTGAACATGAATAAACCTGCTCTGCTTAAGTATTCCTGTGCCCTTTTGGGGAATTCACTGTAACAACAAAAACTTTTTGTTGATTGAATTCAAAAAACCTGGCTAAGCATATGAATAAAAAATCAGCAAGGTTGTGAATTTCATTTAGTAGCTTGCTAAGCAAAAACCAAACAATATGTTTAATCATATGTCGTTCGGTTCTATTGTACTTTTGACTTGAAAGCAGTTTTGATATTCTGTGGAACTCAACTGTGGAACTCAAGAGCAAAACTAAACAATTCCTGTGCTTTCAGTTCGCTACCAAGTGGAACCGAATATGGCCTGGCAACTTTGTAAATAATTTGCATATCGTTACGCGATGCAGTTTTGTTATATTGAGTTAATTTGTTTCGATAAAAACCTGCATCTCTCGTATCAACGAGCAGCGTTATTTGGGTAAACCGTTGATTCTTTCAACAACCCAAATTGGTCTCACGCAGATGAATCACTAGAAAACTTAGATACTCCATGTTTATTTTTAAAACTTTTATCTGAAACTACCCTCGTAGACTCAATAATTTATTTCTTTGAATTCAATACAAATTAGATTGAGTGGGTTCTATTTAAATATGTAATTAAAGTTTTTGTTTTGGTTCTAACATTCAACAATGAGGCGATGCGGAGGTTCGCAACTTTTGCGATACAACTAAAACGTAGCAATAAAAATGTTATTAAAAAGAGAGAAGCCATTTTTGCTCAAAAAATAAAGCTTAGAAAATAACTTGAAAAAGGTCAAAAAATCTTTTTACAAAATTTGTTTCGGACGATGTTTCGGACTTTGTTTCGAATTTGTTTCGGTCATTGCTTACGAATTTGTTGATAAACATGTATACGACTTTGTTCGTAAGCAGCTTTAATAATCAATTAATCAATTAGAAACAATCATCGAGCGGCTATAAGGCAAAAAAAGGGTTGACCCTCATTAAACCGAAAACAAAGCACAAAACTCGACACTAGACATAAAAAGTATTCAACTAAGAAAACTTTTTCTAAGTAATTTTTTTATGACACATCCGTCCTGAAACAAGCAAAAGCCTTTAAAAAACTTACCATTGAAATTGCGCAACATAATTCGACTAGCAATATATTTAAAACATTTCATTACAAAAAATTCAAAAAAGGGTGAAACAAGTTTTTTTTCAAAAAAAAAAAATAAGCTGTACAGCTCAACCTAAAAAGTTTTCATACATTTGTCTCGGACGATTATTGTAAGCAACTTTACCCAGCTGCAAAAAATGGGTTGATCTTTGTTAAGCCAAAAACAAATTCGCAGACATAAAAAATATTCAAGCCAAAAAAAATTTTTCTAAATAATTTTTTTTTACGTCACATTCCTCCTGAATCAAGCAAAAAGCTCAATTTTTGTCCCTGAATTTGCGCAATCTAAAATTATTTGGGATACAATTATTAAATGCATTAAAAAATTGAAAACAGAGAAATCACTATTGTCAAAAAAAGTAAGTTTGAAAACTAGCTTGAAAAAATTCCAAAAAAACCTATCTGCAAAAATTTCATATTTTCGTCTCAAACAGTGTTTGTAAACAACCTTATCAAGCATTTAGGATTATTGATCAAGCGGCAACGAAGGCAAAAACTTTGGGTCGACCTTCGTTGAGCCGAAACTGTAGACATAAAAATGATTTCATCTTTAAAAGTTTTGAAGTGAAATTTTTCCGACCTATCCCTTCTGAAACAGGCAAAAACAGTAACACAATTCACATTAAAATAGCGCCGAATAGGTTAATTAAGCCATAATAACATACGCCAAACTCATTCAAATTGAAAAAATGAAAAAATTTTATACTTTTTCGTAAATTTACAAACTACAGAGCAGCTTTCAATTATTCAACTTTCAAAAAAAAATTATTTCAAGAAAAATTTTTAAATTCTTAGCCTTGAAAAAAATTGCTCCAAAAACTTATTCAAATAAACTAAATTGCTTTTAAAAAAACGGAAAATTGGCCGAAAGAAATCAGGACGAAAACCGCGAATCCCAAAAAATAAACACTTTAAAAAATTGTTTTTGAAAAACTATATATTACCCCACAAGTATTACAAAATAATTTTAATTGAATTGATACAAAATTAAGGGTGTTAGCCGCGATTATGTCAGAATTCATTATATAGAAAATTTAGGATAAAACGTTGCCGGAAAAGTTTCAGTTTCCAATTACAATTCATTTGCTTTCGCAACTGAATCAAGGCAATTAAATTGAGAAACTACGGGAGAGTAACAGTTCAACTGACAAGATCTTCATCAAAAGCTGCTTCCTACCCATATAATTTATACAACTTAAAAAAGACTTCTCGTATATCAGGAAAAAACCCTGATTGTTCCGACTGCATTTAAAGGCCAATGTAAAAGTTTTTGGTTGAAAAATTGACAGAATCATAGAATCGCAACTGAAAAAATTTTGTCAAAAATGTCTGGTTAGAAAATCGAAATTGTCTGGAGAAATAAAAACACTCGGAGCACAAATATTTTGTCATTTTTTTTGAAAGTCGCAACAATAAAAATCACAGTTAACGGAAAACTCTGTGTTAGTTTTCGAAAAAATGAACGTTTTTACTTGCTAAAAGTTTTCATCTCTATCTAATAAGGATCTTTTTTATTGACCGGGTTGTTTATGATGAGGTGACAAAACAACACAGTTTTTTTTACAAGTTTTTGCATCGTCGTCATCTTCACGAATGAGCTACTTTACAGAACAGAAGAAAACTGCTTAGAATTCATTTTAAGGAAACCAAGATAAATACTCTAGCCAAGCAGTTTAACCAGTCATAAGTTTCAACTTTTTCAACCAGACTAGAAGGTGCTTTTTTCAAATCGAATTGTTTTTCATATTTTTTTATATTTTTTTCAAGGATAATTGTGATTGGGACAATTTATGGTCAATTATTGGCTCTAGAGAAGCTAATCTTAATTGAGTTTCGCATTTTTTTATTACCAATTTTAATCATCAGGGGGGAACTCTGGTTAACTATACAAGGCTTTCTTCTAAAATTACATGCAAAAACGTTTTCGTCTTGAAATGTGTTTGTTTCAAATAGAAAACCAAAATAATTAGAATTACACAATGTTTTCAGAATTTTTTTGTTTTTTTGTCAAAACAGAAGCCTACTTTTATTTCAAAAAAGTTGATTTTTAACATCAATTTTTTTGTTTAATCAAAGCAAAGTTTGACATCTAGACATTTATGTCCAGTTTCGGAGGGAACTTTTTTGCAAATCCTTTTTTCTTTTTTTTTTAAAATTGCAACTTTGTAATATATAATGATTGGTAATTATATAATTGGCAATAATTAATATTTTTAAGCAAAAAAGACGTCTCACAGCAAAGCGAAGAATCCAGTGTTTTGAGTGCGCTTGAGCGACAATTCAAAATTATGTGGCTTAAAATTGACAAATTGCTTATGGTTTTTTTTTATTTTTTCCTTATTTTGTCTACTCAAACGCTTTGTAAATTGAAAGAGATGGGTTTTGCGCCTGGCTAGCTTACAATAAGATCAAGTTGCTTCCCTGTACTCAATTGGTAGTGATATAACTTGCCGCTACCATTTTATTGAACAAAATATACACGGCGCTCATTATCCCAGTTTGATTTATTTTAGTCAAAATTTTTCCAACAAACTGAAACCCCCATCATTGAAAATTAAAATTTGCACGTAAAATGTCTTGCTGATTTTGAGCTTTGGACATAAGTATCAATCAGATGGGAAAATAATACCACCCTAAAGTTAAACTGTCGAAATCTGAGTAGAGAAAAACCTACCCGAACAGAAACTTTTTGCCACTTTCGTACTACTTTATGTCGCCCATAGTCAAACCACCGCCCCTAAAATTAAATCGCTGACCCTAGGACCCTTTGCCGCCATCATATACTAATTGTGAGGGGGAGCGCGCGCCAAAAAACGCAATTTTTGGGTCAAAATTTTCCAAAAAAGATTAGCAAGTTTTTTTTTAAGTTCGCCTGCGACCCGAAAAGTTTGGTCAATCAGAGTTTGTATAGACAAGTGGGAAATATTCGAAATTTTTGTTGTCTACCTAAAAACAGTCGAAAATTTTTTTCAAAAATCCGCCCCTCGAGAAAATCTTAGATCCGACCCTGGTATGCTGAATGTTTCTAATTTTATATTTAAATGCCCGATGACTCGGATGCATTATTTTGAAGATGCCTGATGGTAAAATAACCAGACTTCAGAATATTTGAAATTTTTTAAATTTTAAATCTCATATTGCAAAAGCTCAAAAAGTTCGTTTGGATGTAATCAAACAACCCGTGTTTAATGATTTTCCTCAAAACACACTGAAATAATTTTGGAAGTCTGAAACCAAAATAAAGGAAAAAAAATCCAATTGATAATCATAATAATTTATTTGCAATGTAGATTCCATTTACAGTAAAATTTACTACATTTACAACAAAATGAAATGTCATTGCGAGAATGCCGGGGATCTTTGCAGCCCGTTTTCAATGTTTTTTGTTCTATAGCTGTGTCCAAACTTTCTCCAAGCCGTTATGTTTGGAGCAGTAGCGCTTTGACCGCTTCCCCTCTCAGTTCTGGTTTGGGGAATTTTTTTAAACAGTCTGTTCTTGCAAAAACTTTACAAATGGAAATCTTGATTTCAAAAAAAAAGAAATGATTTGACTTGCCTTTCATATCCAGACTTACACCACAAGTTTTTGTCATGTTCCAAATTTTTTCGATTAAAAAGACATCTACTGACTTTGGCGACTAAAAAGATCCGTTGCGAGTGACGCGACTTGCGTGACCCAGATAATGGCGCGACCGGTGCAACCAACAGATGCAAGCTCCAACTCGTACAGCGCTGGCGCAACCGGCACGACCTAGATTGGCTGTTTCCAGACTTTTGCGACTGAGAAAAAACGTCGAGGTTTTTGCAACAAAAGCGGGCATGCAGCAACCAGCGCAAATTTTGCAACCACCATGACCATTTTGAAAAACATTCTGAAATATTTTGAAAAACTGTGAAAAATTTTTATCGAGTTGAGATAATTGTAGATCTCTCTTCAGACTTTTAAATTTCTGCAGGTCCAGTTATTGGACCAAACTTGGCGTGTACACTTTGTTGACCAAAATTTGGGGTCTCCTGTTTCTCGACCAATCTAAAGTGTAACCCAAACTTTTGGACTCAGTTCTCAATTTTTGCGGACCAAAATGTGGCATGTAGAGTTTATTGACCAAATTTTAGTGTGTACATTTTTAGGTGTCCACTTTTTAGTTAGTTCACCAAATTTTGGCGTTTCCAGTTTTTGGATCAAAAATTTGCGTGTCAAGTTTGTCGACCGAGTTATGGCATATCGAATTTGTCGTCCAATTTTTGGCGTGTCCATTTTTTCGACCAAACTTTGGCTTGTCCAACTAATCGACAAATTTTGGTGTGTCCTGTTTATCGAACACATTTTAGTATACAGTTAGTAGACCAAATTTTGTCGTGTCCAGTTTCTTGACCAAATTTTGGTATGTCTAGATAGCCGATCAAATTTGGGCGATCAAATTTTGGAGTGTAGCGAATCAAATTATGGTGTGTACAGTTTGGCCAGAAAATTTTGAATTGTCCTGTTTCTCGACCAACTTCAGTATGTCCCGAATCTTTTGATTTTCGCGACCAATATTTGGCATCTAAAGTTTCTGACCAATTTCCAATTACTTGACCAATTGCTGAAATGTCCTGTTTGTCGACCAAATTTTGGCTTGTCAAATTTCTCGACCAAATTTTATCGTGGCCAGTTTTTGATCAAAATATGGCATGTCTAGTTAGTCGACCACATTTTGGCATGTCCACTTAGTCAATCAATTTTTAGCGAGTCCATTTTGTTGACCAAATTTTGTTGTCGGGGTGTCTTTTTCTCGACCAGTTTCTTAGTATGTCCCGAATCTTTCGACTCAAATCTCGACTTTCGCGACCAATTTGTGGCATGTAAAGTTTCAGAACCAAGCTTTGGGGTGTACCTTTTCTCGCCCAATTTTTATTCAATAACCCGAATTTTGGACTCAGTTCTCGATTTTTGCGACCAAAATTTGGCATGTAGAGTTTGTCGACCAAATTTTATCGTGTCCAGTTTTTTCTACTAAATTTTGGCATGTCCAGTGTCTCGACAAAAATTTTGGCGAATCAAGTTTTATAGCAACGCAGTCGGATTGATAGCAGCGCGACTTTCAATATCCAAACATGCGTCGCAGATTTCGATCCGTTGCGGTAAGTCTCTATTTCACAAATAAAAGTTCGTTGGTTTTCGGCTCATCGTGATTCGTACTAATCTTTACAGACTGAGGTAAAATTACCCAGACAAAAAACTAACCTAATAATGCACATGAAGTACAACATAGTGGAAAAACAGTGGTTCTTCGAAAACAGATCAAAACTTGTGTTTCTGGTCCATTACTTCTGTAAATATATCGTCTATTGAAAATAACGCAAATTCTCATTCCAAAAACAGTGGGTCTAGTTTATGAATTGAGTTATTCTACATATTGCATTTTTTCTACATCTAAAAGCAATCCTTTACAAGTGTTTTAATTCAATCTCTGTTGGTACCCCTCCCCTTCTCCCTGGATGTGTCATTTGTGGAGTCACGTGACGAGGATAGACTGCTGCTGTCGACTCCTTTCTTTTTCTCCCTGTGTGCAACAAGGGCAGCTGAGATGATCACTATTGCAACCACGCCAATCAGCACACCTGGGATAAAAAATTTTGTCAAATAAACCCTAAAAGTTCGTCATCACCTCCCAATCCCCCTTTAAACCTAATTTCACATCTCTTCTGTCGTCTGTTGGGTAGCTACTGAAGCACAGCATCTGATCTACTTTGAGTTCAAAAAAAAACTAACTAATTTAAGACTTGAAAAAGCATTGAAAAAATTAGTCCTGAAAATTTTTAATTTCGCAGACCTTTAATTTTTTTACTCTACTTTTTATACTTAACTTTAGTTTGTGAACACGCTTGATCAGTAGAGTACGCAAAATATCTTAAGGAATTATAGAATTTGTCGTAGAAAAAAGTTTTTTATTGGGTCAGCTGCATCGATTCGTTTTTCGAAAACCTTATAATGCCACTTTTTGCAATTTTTCCAGAAAAAAAATTGTTTCTGAGATAATTGGGATAAATACAAAGTGGAACCAGTTGAAAACAAGTATTTATTATATCCAATTAAATTTATTTTTGATAAAATATCTCTGGAAAACACTTGGAAATAGCCAATCATGATCTATGACTAAAGCTTACAATAATTTGTAAGGTTTAAACTATTTATAGTTTCAGCCAAAACAGAATAAATTTAAGCTAGCAAACAGTTTTTCTTCCTTAGAACAGTTCTTGATTCTAAACCTCGCAACAATACCAGTATACACTAAATCTTTTGAGACTAGGAGATATAACAACATATTATAACATTTAACATAAAGAAAAGAACAAAATCAAATACCGGTCTTGTTTTTATTTGTGTGCGAAATTGTATCATGTAAACCTAAGTTGTCACACAACTTAAGAAAACTGAAATGACTCTTTTCGGGAAATCTTGAGTAAACTGACCTGCAAAAGGACCTAGTAAATGACCTTTCATGACCTTTCATGACCTGCAAAAAATATTATCCCAGGAAAAATTTTTAGAAAACGAAAGTCAGTCTAAAACAGTCAAATTTTTTAAAATAATTTTCAAAAGCGAGCAAAAGAATTATCAAGAAATTGGCTTTTTTATGTAAAAATTCGATAAACACTATAGTTGTAGCTACAGAAACTTAGCTCAATAACAAAGCCATTTTTCTGCTCAAAGCAAAATATTGTTTATCTCCTTTATTATTCAAAATTCCTTCTCGTAAAGATCTCATGAACGCTGAAAGAAGTTTTTTGATGCATTTTGCGTTGAAACTGAGTCATCGTTCTAGAAAAAATATATAAATAATGTTTCCTACTGCTAAAAAAAACTCTTTGTTTTGTTGGCGAATTGAATGAAGAAAATTTTCCGGCGCTTGCTTCGAAATTGAAAATATATATATTTGGAGACTCCAATATAGAATTTTTAAAACAAGTCGAGTCATCAAAATTTCAAATTTTGCTGAAAATTGTTGTTCAATTTTACCAAAAACTCAAAACCGTCACGTCTAACAAATAATAAGATTTCGCTAATGGACAATTGCTTTCGTACGATTTGTTAGTTCGTACGATTTGCTTTTCAACACAGACACTTTTACGTTTTCAGGTGAATATTTTTTTCTAGCAAGCTAAAAGATGACATCATTCATTCAAATTGAGACAAGACGTTTCAATAATTTTGTTTGAGGGAAAATTAAATGCACTTCATGATTGGTCAGAATTGTATGAAACATCCTCTGGATCTGAAATGTTTTATATTTTTGGCCCATTGTTGAAATTATTCGCACAACACATCCATAAGACAATAAAAATCTAAATCTGAAGCTTGAAGCCAATAAAAAACCACGATAACTTTGATAAATAAAAAAACATAGGTAGTTCAATATATGGAAAAAACACTGGTTGTGAGGTAGCTCACAGAGAATACAGAAAGGTGAAAATTTTGTCCACCAAAAATTGACAACTGCTTTACAAAATGATCGCTTTGAAAATTGTCAGCATCTTCCCCACAGTAAAAACAATGGGATTTTATAAACAAAATACTAGGAAATAAGAGCAGCAACTGACTATTTTTGGTTTCGATGAGTATTTTCGTTTTTGAAGGTTTTTTTTTTCTAAAAGAAACTGGTTACATTCATTTTTGGTGGATGAATAATAGGGCGTTTCCTATTAGTTTCAATTGACGGAATAAGACTTCCATACGTTTTCAGTTTACTCGAAATTGCTATGATAACAAAACTGTTATCTAAACAAAACTTTTAAGTTTTTTGGAGAGCAAAAACACATTAACACTCTTGAAAAAAAGGTTATGATAATATATAATAGCAGAGCAAGTTGAATTTATCAATATTGTACTTAACATGTACTATGGATTGGTGTTAAAAACTCGTATGAAGTTAGTCGGCTAGTTTTTTCCCATTGTTCATATGGAATCAAGTTATAAGCATTTTAGAAGTCGACTCGGGCATACTTTTAGTGCACTAGGGCCACTAGTTTCTGTGAGTTGTAGTGAGGATTCAAAAACATAAATGCTTAGCCGAAAACAAATTTTTGACTCAAAATAAAAATGCTGCTGTAAAAAATTTACAAATTTGACTCAATTTTCTTATTAAAATCATTTGAAAAAAGATTGAGCCCTTATGATCGGAATTGAACCTGTTATGATGAGGACGATGCGCCAACTGCCCGCCGAGTATTTGCCGCTGCTGTCGGGAGAAGCCGAGACACGAACACCCGAGAAGAGAAAAACCGAGAAGAAATGACCCAACACACGAGAGCAATTTTCTTTTAGAAGGCTGTTATAACTGACCATTTTATCATTGCGATAAGTAGTTTCAATAATAAAATCAAAATTTTCAGCTTTCTTTTTGTTGATTGTTGAGTCTTATGATGAAAAGATTTATGACAATGGAAAATCGCCGCTTTGTTGAAACGCACTCATGAAAGCGACTAACAACTATAAAAACTAGAGATGAAGCCTCATTCTATGAGAAAAATCAAAAAATGTCAAATAATTCTGAATGTGATTGATGATTACATATTCACTTGTAATTGAACCATTTATTTGATTCTAACCAATATTATGCCTCGTGTTTTTACAGTTGAATAATCAAAACAAGAAAAATTGCGCTAAATATTCATAAAAAATGAAAAGACTGACTATTCAACCCAAAGACGAATTATTTTTCAAGGACTCAAAGTTTTGAAATCACCAATTTTTTTTGAAAAACATTATTCAAAAAATAAATTTATGAAAAATCATATACAAAACTAGAGAACGGAAGCGAAAGTGACTTTACGCTATTAAAGACCGCAAAATTGCCTGAAGAGTTTTGGCATTTGGATAAAATATCTCAACATTTTCCACACCAATTTGCCAAAAAATCGAAAGCAGTTGAGTTGGGAATAATTATTTTTGAATTTTTAATTGTTTTTTTCTTTAGTTTCTTAATTTGAATTTTTCAATTTGAATTTTTTGAAATGCATTTCTAGTGCCAAAGGAGACCTGGAAAAACTTAACAGTTTGCCATCCAAACAGATATGTCATAAAACAGTGTCAGAGTGAGGATCCTCTTCAATAATGTGAGTTATGTATTGGTTACTGTACTCACAGAGTAATTTCAGATAAGGTACACCGTCTGCTCGTCACGCTATCTTATTTTCGGCCGGATATTCGTGCAACTTCTTGGTCTAATACCGATCTTAATCTTACTCTTATATCTCCTAGTCTCAATAGATCTAGTGTACACCGGTTTACGCGAGTTAGTTTCAGAATGAGAACAACTGTATTCTAAGTTTAATTCAAATTGTTCTGGTGTTGAAACTACAAGTAGTCTCAACACTTTACAAATAAATGGGTTGTTAGTTTTATGGAGTATAATTGGTTAGTATTTAATATTTTATAAAGATAATGTATCATAATAATAACCAATGATAAATACTAGTTTAGATCTGGTTCCATCCATCCGGGGTTTAGAGAGTTTTAGTTTTTGTTCTTTTGGTTATCATTTATAATGGAGAATTGATGATGTTTTTTTTTGTGTTTCTCGAGCATCATTTCTGCTTCGTTCTTGGAGAAGGATGTCTTATCCGTCTGCCCCAGGAAGATGGAATCGTCGATATCCGTCTGTCATTCGACAACGACTGTGACCGCCAACTGTTTCTGTTGTTTCTAGAAATCAATCTGATTTCACAATGGTTTGTTAGCTTCTTTCGTTCTTGTTTGGTGGAGAACTGTGTATCGGTCTCGTTTGGGAATGGCGTGAAGTTTGAGCTTGGATGCAATGCCCGGTGACTTGGATCTGTACGCATATTTGAACATCGAGATGGCCATTGTTCTGTTGCAATGGATTTCCTTTTCTGCGATGCCAAATCGTACTCTTAATCCATTGAGTTTAGTGACTGTAGGCAGCATGTCAGGTAAGTTTTGCCATTCCGTATTTGGAGTGTAATTGGGTTGTCTAATTCCTTGATGCTCGTCTTTGGGCTGTATGTTATCTATATACTGCATTGTATTGATTACATATATAAATCTTTGTTAATTTAGTTTTTAGTCATGATTTTTTATTAGTGTTTATAGCAAAAGCGTTATTATTTAGTTCCGTTATTTTTAAGAGCTACTCGCACTTGAGTAACTCTCGTCAAAAATAGTGTCGTGGATGTCACAAAGCGTGGATGTAGCACGATGGATGAGGCCGGCTATAGAGCATGCTCAGGACGTCCCCTTCTGGTGGTTTGGGCCAGAAGTGAGGGTATAATTTTGTGCTCTCCTTTTGGAGGGTCCTGTGTTAGTTCAACCTTTCATGCCATTTTTTTATTACTAGTGTTTTCTTTTGTTGTCTTTGTTTTGTCTTTTCTTCAAAAATCAAATTGTTTGTTTTGGTCTTGTCTTTCGACTTTTTGGCGTTTTGTTCTTTTGTGTTCAGACTTAAAAGTAGTCTTTAAAAGAATAACTTATCCGGTTCTAAGCTGGTGTTATTCCAGTTTGGGTACTGTGGGTTTTCTTTTCTTATCATGCTAAGAGGTTGTGGTTTATGGTGTTCAGTAAGCTTGCGTTGGTTAGTTTGGATTATTAAATAATTCCTTTCCAATCGGGTTAAAGGAAAACTTTAAACGTGTTAAATTTGTTAAAGTCGTTATCAGTGAAAGATGAAACTCAAATTCAATATTTTAAACAATTTTTTGTGGGCGAGCAGTGCGAAATTGGATAGAATATGTGGGCGAGAGAAAATAAAGAAGCGTCTTTGAAAAGATTAGTACTGCTTTTCCAATTTATGAACATTTTTGATTAATTTACTACTTAAAAAATTATAAATTTTACTGCTTGATTTGTGGGTTGAAATTTTAAAGTTATTTTCAATTTATGAATGTTTAATGCTTTGGGGAAAAGAATTAATATATTAAATTACTACTTTGTACGGGATAAATTTATTGCTTCAATTATTTGATAGGTTAATAAAAATTACTGATTTTGAAAAAGAGTTTCTGTTTTTTATTTTGCTTTTTGTTTTGTAGATGATTGATGATTGTGCCTATAAAGAAAAAGAGAAAACATCGAATAATAATGGTTAGTGTTGTTTGAATTTATTAGTTGAATATAGAATCTATATTACCTTAATCGTCGGTGAAGAAGCCATGGGGAAAAACATCGTGGATGATGTCTGATGAGGTTAGTAGTTTAGCTAACAAACGAATGATGTGTTTAGTTTGCAAATAGGGTCCTCAACACAATGATTTGTTTGGCTGATTCTCTAATTGTTTTACTAGTTGATTTCATAGAAATTTATTATTGACCCTCTTTTCAGCCCCACTATCTGTATATAATTTAATTTAAAAAAACGCCATCTGTTACTTAGAATATTTTGTTTTTCGATTGGCAGGTTTCGATTTATTTCACGTTCATTTGAGCATTGCCATTATCAAGAATATGCCAATGAGTTACTCCATGAAAAGCTAGAAAAAAACTTGAAGATACATTCAAAGTGTCGCTCAGTATCACTTGTCTTACACACATGATAAACAAAAACAAAAAAGAAGAGTGAAGATACTTTAGTAGTTCTTAAAATGCTCTAGAAACTGTGCCTATTCCATACTTTGTCCCCAAAATTTTGAATATTGGAATTATCAACTATTGAAAAAATTTTCTGAATACTTACAGAAAATGATCTAAGCTGTTGGGGAGGTTTGTTTGTAATGAAGCAAAAAAGATTCAGATAAATTAGACAGACAATTTTTTCATTTAAGAAAGAATTTTAAAAAAAGAAACTAATACAATCCTTACATTCCCCCTGTCATCTTAAAACAAGACTGCTACAAGACCCTATCAGGGTTAAGCCAAAAAAGATCCCATAGCGCAGTCATTTATCTGAAAAGTTAAAAAAATTGAAAAACTTTTAATCGAGATGTTCTCTCATCGGCTATGGGAAAGTAAAAAATATATATTCTGCGCAAATTTTAGCCCTAAAAAAACAAATGGTTTGCTTCAGTCCAATTTAAAATCATCTGTTAGCAAAGTTGTGTACTGTAACCGCGCTTAAAAAACCAAATACAACGCATGTTGGTTTCCTCAAATAATCAATTAATAAGTTATCATATCCCCCATACTCAAACAAAGTTATATCCGCTGAAATATAATTAAATTTTTGAGCTATGGGAAGTGATATCCTTAAGATGGCCTAAAACATGTCCGATAAAAAACTACATAAAAACTTTAAATGCAGTTGGAAACAAGCAAAATATAAACTGGAGAACACTTCGACTAAAACTCAAAGATCACAAGTCTATCTGTGGCAACCACTTTGAATGACTGTCTTCAGGATACTGTAAGAGGACGGAAATTTAGAAAAAAATAGCTAACATTACGAGGCCAAACTATGCACTGGATAGGCGCACAATTTTGTATCTGTATCTTCATGGATTCCAGAGAAAAGTCTTTAAGCATGTTAAAATTTTGTCGGAACGAACAAAGGAAATGAAAGAAGAAAAGAAGAACAAATGAAGTTCTTGTTGCGGAACCCGCTTACAAGTCACCAAACGCACAGCTTGGCCCTGTAATGAACTTAAAATGTCTATTGAAACAAGAAGAGCATGTTGCTATGGAATAAGCACAAAAAAATCGACCGCAATCATTATACTGTGATTATAATACAGAAAGTAGCCAATTAAAAAAAGAATGAATTTTCTTCTTTGCGGAAAGGCAGTCCGTTTTTTATTAACTCGTAACACGGTTTGAACAATAGCATTCGTCATTAATTGACCAAATTTTTTCTTTAATGACAAAAAAAATCAAAAACTTGAATTACAAAACAAAAAAAGCGTACTTTTAAATATTTAGTGCCAGAAAAACGCTACATGAAATTCAAAAACTATTTTTTAAACTGTGGAATTAGGGTATTTGTAGCTCAAGCCACATCAAATTTTCTTAAACAAACGTTTAATATAAAAATATTTCGAACCGCGAGTGAAATGGCTAGAATTCAATGCATCGCTGGACATAATGTGATGCTCATTGAAGCCATCTAATTGTGCGTTGAAAGAAGTAAAAACGAAAAAAAAAAAAGAAAAACGCAGCCATAGAAAATTTTCCGACTCATTTTTAGTGTTGATGAAAAAATAGAAAACCCACCCAAAGATTATTACCTTTCGTGGTATAATTAAAATAAAAACCTTGGTGAAATAGATAACAGCTGATGCAACAAGCTAATTTTGCGCTAAAATTTATTTTAGCGCGTCATGTATCAACTGATTTTACATGGCATTTGTTTTACATGGCAAGCTCGTATTAAAATGGCAATTGAAAAGTTTCATCAGAACCTAGCTCAAAACAATGCTCGTGGAAAAAATGTTTTATGCGAGTCATGTATCATTTACCGCGTCATGTAATAGTTT